TCTCCCATTCCACGCCCCCCACACACACCTGTATCCCTAGCGTGGACCTCCACTGCAACTCCCTCCCCCCACCCCCAGTGCCAGGCCTTTGTCAGAGAATCTTCCAGAACAACCTGCTTCACAACCATTTGGAACACTTGTTAAAATGCTGACACCTGAGTCCCACAACTGACTTTGACTTAAAATTCTCTGCAGGTGGCACCCAGAAATGTAGGCTTTAAACAGCTTCCCAGGGAATCCCAATGGACATTGATACGTGAGAATCACAGTCTTTTTCCCCTGGGCTAGGAATCATTCTCTTTTGGAGTCTCAAACTGGTAGTCTGCAGACCAAATCTGACTCAGATAGGTTTTGTTTAGCCCGCCCAGGGTCCAAATCCTAAGCCATCGGTTAAAAACAGGGGAAAAAGTCCTAGAGATGTGGCAACCCAGGGCCCACATAATAGCAGTTGCTCCCTAACTGCAGATTGTACACAGCCCTCATCATTCTTCCAAATTGGATTCCTAATCTGCTAGCTAGCTTCATTTACTGTCTCTGGCTCCTAATGCTTTTAAGTTTGCGACCCTGGTGTGTGCCACCCGCCTATCCAGTCACCGTTCCCTCCGCCTCCTTATCCACGGGGACCTGGGCCCCCGTCCAGCATCACCTGTAGAGCAAGTAGCTTTGGAAATCATCTGCCTTCTTGAGCAGGTAGCGGAGCTGTTCGGTAATGGGGCTGAACATGGTGTCCAAGGGTAAGCGAGGAGGTGCGGGGCCCGGGGCTAGAGGCTCGGGGGAAGGTGTAGACGGGCATGCCTCGGGCTGCTGATCCTGGACGTCCTCTGGCTCCGCCTGGGGTGGGTCCCCAGGTCGGACAGGGGGCGTCGACCACGAGGGGTCTTCACAGGGCTGTACCCCAGGTTCCAAGTCGTCCCGGGGCGGCGTTTCCTCAGGGCCCCGGGGAAGCGGCCCCACGAACCACTGCTCGGTAGCCATCCTGGGGCTGGATGCGGGGATCCGAGCTCTTTAAATCTCCATGGCTCCAGTTGGCCGCGGGTTCGACCCCGCCCCGGGAACCTCGGATTTGCCTAGGCTGCGAGCGCAGCCCAGCCTAACTCACCCCTACCTCGACCTCTCTGTCGGTGCCGCACCGCGCGGAGCGAGTTCGCCTCATTTGAATTTCAACACGCTGGAGGGGCGCGCAGCTCGGGTCGGCGCTGAGCG